GATGAATGTACTAGAGCGATTAAAGATCGTAACAGGGCATTTAAAATACTGCAGAAAAATCTAACACTTGAAACTCTTATTAATTATAAAAAGAAAAGAGCAGTAGCTCGTAAAATTATTAAGGAAGCCAAAAAGAAAACGTGGAGAGAATATACTTCCTCAATAGGATCTGAAATTAAATTGCAAAATGTATGGTCAATGTTTAGGAAAATGATTGGGAAAAGGAGTGATATTAAAATACCAGCCTTAGTCAGAGATCAGGAAGTAGTAGTGTTAAATAAAGATAAGGCAGATTTGTTGGGGGAAGCATTTGCGGCAGTACATAGTGGGGAACATCTTACAAACATTCATAGACAACAGATGAATCAAAAAATTAGCAAACATAAAAATATTTTGGGAAAAAGTCAAACATATAATTCAACATTAGACATAAATATAACCATGAAGGAAATTAAAGCAGCATTGAAAGGGACAGGATATTCAGCTCCTGGGGAAGATCAGCTATGCTATGCTATGTTTAAACAGATTCCTGAAGTAACATTAGAATTAATATTAAAACTGTTTAATAAAATATGGAAAGAAGGTTTAATACCAAATAGATGGAAGAGAGCAATAATCCTACCGTTTAATAAACCAGGGAAAGATCCTGCAAATCCAAATAATTACAGACCAATAGCATTAACTTCACACTTAAGTAAGTGGATGGAGAAAATAGTGATTAAGAGACTAGAATTTATTCTTGATCATAAGAAATTAATCAATGAAAATCAGTGCGGATTTAGGAAAGGAAGATCAACAATGGACGCAATAACTAGAGTTAGTAATGATATAGAGAAAGCTTTAAAAATGAAAGAAATTATGATTGTAGTATTTTTGGACATAGAAAAAGCTTATGATTCACTATGGAGAGAAGGACTACTTATAAAAATGAAGCAGATGGGAATAGGAGGGAAAATGTTTAATTGGATAGCAAATTTTTTAAAGGATAGAAAAATAAAAGTTAAGATTGGAAATGACTACTCAAAAGAATTGAATATTGAAAATGGAATTCCACAAGGTAGTGCAATTAGCCCAATACTATTTAATATTATGATAAACGATATCTTTTCTGAAACAGAAGAATGTATAAAATCTGTATTATATGCTGATGATGGAGTATTATGGATGAGAGGAAAGAATACAAGATTTGTTATAGGTAAAATTAAGAAAGCGATTAATAAAGTAGAAAAATGGTCCTTTGAATGGGGTTTTAAATTATCAACAAGTAAATCTTGTTATATGATTTTTACAAATAAGAAAAACATAGACATAGGTACAATAACATTATATGAACAACCATTGGAAAGGGTAGCAGAATTTAAATATCTGGGAATATGGTTGGATCAATCATATACATGGAAAACGCATACAAAGAATCTGGAAACTAAATGTAAGAAAGTGATAAATCTACTAAAGGCTGTGGCTGGAAATAACTGGGGTGCAGATAGACAGTCATTATTAAACATATATAGGGCTCTCATGAGATCAACAATAGACTACGGTAGTTTTATATATGGAGTAGCAGCTAAAACAACATTACAAAAAATAGATACTTTACAGAATAGGGCTTTACGTATATGTACAGGAGCAGTGAAAACGACACCTATTAATGCCCTTCTAATAGAGACTGGAGAGATTCCACTAGAAATAAGAAGAATAAAATTAGCTCTGACATACTGGATGAAAATAAAAAGTAAAAAAGATGAAAATGTAAATTCAACAATATTAAAATATTGTTGGGAATACTTAAAGTTCCATAGTAATGGATTTGGATGGATCATAAACAAATGGATTAAAATATATGAATTAGAAGATAAAGAAATAGCTCAATTTAATCCAATTAATGTTAGCCCTTCATGGATATTTCCGGCAGTAAATGTAGACATAAAACTCCTTAAAATGAAAAGCGATTGGAATTTAAAAGAAATAGGGGTAAAAACCGATATATACTTAAGAAACTCATATTATAATTATGCTAAAATATATTCAGATGGTTCTAAGAATTCAAAAGGATGTGTGGGAATAGGAATTTATATATCTGAGTTTAAAATTGACATATCTAAAAGATTATCTGATCAACTATCTGTATTCACGGCAGAAATGGTGGCAGTTATCATCAGTTTGCAGTGGGTAGAGGAGGTGCGTCCAGACAGAGTAGTAATTTGCACAGATTCCAGAGCAGTCATAGAAAGTATTCAAGGAGAAGGAAACAATAGGAAAGATCTAGTACTAGAAATTCAACATAGCTTATTTAGAATATACAGAGGTGGCATTGATGTTTGGTTCTGTTGGGTACCAGCACATCAAGGTGTAAAAGGAAATGAAAGGGCAGATAAATTAGCAAAAAGGGCTTTAGATCAGGCAATAACGATTAAAATACCTATTGGCAAAGGGGAAGGGAAATCAATTATTAAGAATAAAGAAATGGAAATATGGCAAAAAAGATGGAATGAAGATAAGAAAGGAAGGAAATTATATAAAATACAGAAGTCAATATTTAGTAGAAATATTAAGGAGAGAAATAGAAGGGAAGAAATAATAATGATTAGACTGAGAGTAGGGCACACATATTTAAATGATACTTTATATTTAATAGGGAAGAAAAATAAGGATAAATGCGAAAAATGTGGAGAGAAAGAAAATGTAGAACATATACTACTGAACTGTAAAACATATGAACGTGAAAGGGAGAAATTGAGAAGAATAGTTGGAAAGACAGATCAAGAATGGAGTTTGAAAGGAATATTGGGAAATGATGGAAATATAAAGGATATTTGTAGGATAAGAAAAGCGTTATTTATTTTTCTTCAAAACACAAAATTAAAAAATAGAATATGACTGATGTAGAATACTGTTGCTACACACTCGTGTACAGTAGGTGGCGGTATGCACCTTAAAGTTGATTGCGACCCGCCATAATAGAAAAGAAGAAGAAGAAGGTGTAGCAGGTGGCATGCAAAAAAGGGGAGAGAGGTTGTTTGAATGGAGAGGCTACAAAGAGTCCTGCCGGATGGGGTTGAAGAAAAAAAGAAAAAATCAGCCCACTGGACAATATTTGTGGAAATAAGGACTTTAAAAGAAAAAAATGATTTTTTCCCCCCCCGCTGGATGTGCTGGTGAGACCCATCTGGTTTATTCATTTTTTCCTTTATTTTTTTTTTGTGCAATGCATTACTGAAGACTGATTTTGCGACCTATTTTGTACAATTTTGTGTGTTTTTGTTTTTTTGTATTTTTGCAAGAGGACCGGTGTTGGATTTACACTATGGAGTGACTTTGGGGGGGAAGCGGTGAATACTGATGGTGATTTTTGACCAAGACTCTTGAGAAAATGTGGGGAAAGAAGTGGATTGTTTGTGAATTGTGTGATTGATAAACGAAATACAGGTGACTGATTTGGGATAAAGCGTGTGTGGTGTAATGGTTATTTTTATAACATTTTGATAAAAAGTTTTCACAGATAAAAGTTAAACATTTTAGACCGAACGTAATTAGTAACAGTTGTTTTTCTGACCAAGATCAGGGGAATTGTTAAAAGTTCATAAAATTGATTAGTTTTTTTTATCTTGCCTCGTCGCACTGACTTCCAGCACACCTCCACTCACGCAGCCACCCATGATCTCCACACGGGGGCAGCAGACACGCACTCATGCACACGACGAAACATGTCATTTGTGTGTCAGTATCTGTACATTATCTCAAACGTTTATACAAAACGGTTTATTTTCTTGTGCTTCAAAAGTGTAAACTAAAAGTGAATCTGCCGTAATTGTAAGAAAAAACAGAAAGGGGAAATTTAAAACATCTGAAATAGTCTGCTTCCCTAGATGGCTTGAGTAAAGAAAAGCAAATGTCTCATAATTCACAGGAATATTTGGTATATGATGAGGGTAAGGAAATAATAACTTCAATAACTCTGCCAGAGCGGATGATTCCAAGGTACAATAACACATTAACACGAATGACTAAAAGTCATGGAAACTCGTAGAAATCTATTTAATTTATCCAGTAAGGTATATTTTACATTACTATCGTGGTTTTCCGGAATGACACGCAAACGCCGCTCTTTGCGTGCGGCAACAGACCAGTACGTTCATGGTGATTTATGAAAATGACGCAATGACGTGGTTCAATTTTGACCACTTGTAGGGCGGATGAGAGCTACTTTCTTTTAACGTGGGGGGGGGCACATGGGTCCTGATGCAGGGAAACTGCCAACAGACTGCTCTGTTTGGGGTTATTAACGGGACATATTCTGACAGTTAAAAGCTAACATCACTGTCCGCCTGCGCTAAAACATCCAAAATAGTTTTTTTTTATATTTCTATCAGACGGTGTACACTTCTGATTGGAAAAGTGTGGACTTTCAGCGTCCGTCCGGGTGGAGAAAATATCTGAAGACCTTGACAATCAGTCCCAAACGACCCGGATCTGACGTGTGAAGAAGTTTCTCTGGAATAAATAAATAATCATCTGCCGACCTGTTGTTCTCACAGCAACAAGCAGACAGAACAACAACAGACCCCACATCCGTTCGACCTGGACATCCATTTTTAGAGAATTTATTGTCAAGTAAAACGGATACAACCAGTTATTCTTGTCTCACGTTCAGATTATTTTTTGAGCTCATGAGAACTGTCAACTACAAAAAACTCCCAGCATTGCTGACTGACCCCCCACCCACCAAACGTGAACCTGCATCATGTTTCTGCCTTTACTTTGAAGTTCACCGGAAGTGGGAGTGCGTTTCAACACCTGTGTGGCTGTGGGGCGCGTGCGGAGCGGCTGTGACCGCCCTTCGCATCGTGGATGTGGCTTTTTCCGCATTCTCCCCTGCCTTCCCGCGGACGCTTTCCTGATCTCCCGGGCAGACCCCTCCATGGGACGGCCGAACCCGGCCCGGAGAGCACCCCAGCAGCCGGAGGCCGCGCTGCACGCCCCCCGGCCCGCCGCCCCCCGGCCCGCCGCCGCGTCCATGTTGACGGTCAGTGTTCTTTCCGTGTTCGCCGATGTGTCTTCGTCCTGCTCGAGCCGGAGAGTAGAGAGTTTGCTCCTGTTTCCGGCAGACAGGCTCAGGCCTGTCAGGAAGAGTGCTCATACACCCGAAACAACTCGTTTAGTGAGCTGGAAAGGCCAAATCCCTCTGTGCAGCAGGTATTCAAAACCAGTCCACAACATGGAGGGAGCGACATCGGCTGTTGGTTTTGGTGTGGTCAGAAACTCTCACATTGTAGCAGATAACCCTTAGAACTGAAAGTCAGGCCTGCATGCAGCCACCGGGGGCTGGGGAATGAAAGTGTAGTGATGCAGACAGCAGCATCCGAGTCTCTGCTGCCCATCCAGCTACAAACCTGAGGTGGATGTAAAATGACCCCCTTGCTTCGTCATGCCTTTTTCTTTGCACATCTTCAGTCAGTGTAAAATCACTTCCGTCTTCAACTGAAAAACCATCAGTACCCAGCAGGCAGCCCTCCCTTCTGGTTTGGAGTTTGGAGTTCCTCCGATGGAGCTTAGAGCTCTCTCCTGTTCCTGCCAGAGGCGCCCGGGAAGGAGTGCACATCAGGATGGAGGGTTTGGTTCCATCAATGAGGATCATTATTATCATGCAGTCAGAAAAGAGTATTTATGTCAATGGAATTTGCATTTGTCTTTTATCATGTTGTGTGTTAAGTGTTGTACTTTTTCCATGGTTAAAGCCAAATAATTTTATTGGCCTATTTATTAAGGAACAATGAAGGAAATAGCACAGTACTGATATTCTGAATAAGACTCAAATAAATCGTGTGAATCAATTTTAATAGTGATTAATGTTCAGAATATGAGTTGATGGTTATCATGTTACATTTCTGGACTTTTGGTGGGTTTTGCATATACAAACAACTAAATGGTTTATTTAAACTCTCAAAAAGCACGGCTCAGAAAACCACACTGAACGTGAAAACAGACAAACGCAGAAACCACCAGAAAACCAACCTAGGACGGACACTAGAAACGCAGAATGAAAGGGCAAGGCAACATGTGCTGCAAACACGGTAAGAAACACAGGCAGTGACTCAAATGACTGACAAGCTTAGATGGAGGAGGGTTAGGGTTAGGGAGGAAAAGCAGGTGACACAGGGAACACAGGAGAAGTGACATGAGCTGCGTTGAATAACCAGAATAGGAGGGAACTGAGGGAGGGGAAGTAAACGGAGACACACAAGGGGAACACACAGGAAACTAAGCAGAGAGCCAAAATAAAACAAAGGGAGCTAAAAGAAACACAAGAAAAACCAAGACACAACCTAGAAAACAATCCAGAATAAAACCAAAACCCGATGTGAGTGATGCCAGAGACACCTAGAGAATGAGATTGGGAGGAATGTAACCTAGGATCTGAATATAAGTGAAGTTGAATAAAGTAAGTCTTTGTCTAACCTGGTCATTGTCCAAGCTGGCATGGCCTCAAAGTTGCAAGTTGCATAATTTTAAACTGAATATTTTGTGGCAGTGAAATTCCATTTCTGTTGTTAAAGCTCAGGCACAACTTTGGTGTTCCAGTTTTTGGAGAATTATGAACACCTCATAACTGACTGCTCAACGACTGGTGACAAGCAACTAGAAGACCAAGGGAGTTGAAGCCAAGAATCAACATGGCTGTCTTCAAGCCGGAAAATGTGGAAGACTTCTATGAAATCGGTGAAGTTCTGGGAAGGTACACATTTTTCTGCATCTCCAGTGAAACTTCCAACGTGTGAATGACTTGTCCTCTCTAAACGTTTAAATCCCATGATCATATTATATGTTAATAAATACAAACATAGCCCATGTGTAAGGAATCCTTGAGGCGGTCCCTATTTGCCTACAGGTCATCTATATTTTACAGACAAAAAGGGTTGCTTGCCATCAACAAGGACCAAGTTTGTTTAGTCCACATAAACCCTTTCTTCACTGTATGTCCACACAAATTGCTACTGCATTATCCCCAGTCCTCACAGCCAGCCGCTGTTCCTCCCCTTTGTCATATAGATGTATCTGTGGGGCATTATCTGTGTCAGTGAGTGTGGTCCTGTGGTGGAATGGTGACCTGTCCAGGGAGTACACCACGGCTTCCCCAATGTAATTTCGGATAGGCTCCTGTTGGCCCCTCCAAAATATTCACTAATTGTTTATAGCTGTATTTCATGCTAGATGAACACAGAGTGAAACATGTCCTTGTCCGCTCCAGCGGCCACTTTGGACAGGTTCGTCAGGTCCGTGAGAGGACATCCGGGGTTTTTTGGGCAGGAAAATTCCTAAAGATCCGAAAAATCGCATGCAGCCGCCTGGGTGTGGAGAGGAGCAGTGTGGAGCGAGAGGTGGAGATCCTCCAGTCTGTGCAACATCCAAACATTGTGACTCTCAAAGACGTTTTTGAGAGCCGATCGGAGGTGGTCCTCATCCTGGAGCTGTAAGTCCATTTTCCAGTCTGATCCATTATGTACCTGGATATTTGGAATGTGTCACATGAGGGTCAGAATGATTCTCCCGTGACAACACTGGAAAAGAGTGAACAGCACACGTTTTTGAGCCACAGTGGTCCCTGTACACCAACGGCATGTGAATGCACACCCTGAATTTAAAAGTGCGGCAGCTATGTGACTAAGAGTTATTATGAATTTACACAGAAAAAGAGCTTAACTGTTGGGCGACTTTCCTCATGGATGAACAAAAGACAGCTTATATATAATGCTTTTTTTCTCTGTGCAGCAGAAATGTTTCAAAATACTCACTCCTCTCTATGACTTCTTAGTGTCAGTGGAGGAGAATTGTTTGACTTCATTGCCGAGAAAGAGAACCTTCTGGAGAGTGAAGCTATTGAGTTCATGAAACAAATCCTGGAGGGGCTGAGGTTTATGCACGGGAGCAACGTTGCCCACTTTGACCTGAAGGTAACAGTGAAGCAACGCAGACTAACTTAGGTCAATATGACAATGCACGCTTTAAAAGACAAGCTATCTGCATCTCCTGCATGATTGTGTCGTTTTTTTGCAGCCGGAAAACATCATGCTCTCTGACAAGGTGTCTTCCAACCCCAATATTAAACTCATTGACTTTGGCCTGGCCCACCGCTTCCATCAGGGGGAGGAGTACAAGAGCACAAGCGGAACTCCCCAGTACATCGGTGAGGATGCTTTGAGATGTCTGTTTCCATGGAATCTTAGGTCATTCATCATGTTTTGACAGTGAGCATATGTAACCACATCTGTAGATGCCAGAAGAGACAGAATGATCTGGACTCTGTAATGCGGAGGATTTATTATGAAGCCAAAAGGGAGCCATAAGCCGTTTTTTTTCATTGTGAGGACTCATTTTGAGGACCCGGGCAGAAGAACACATGGAGCCAGCAGAGCACTTTGATTAACTTGTATTTAAGAGAGAACGACAGCCTCTTCACTGGTAGTGTACAGATGCCTGTGGTCAATATTAGGCTGTTTTCACATGTTTCTGCAGCTCTTAAGCAGCAGAAAAACCTCTCCATCTTTAAGTTATGCACAAGAGAGGTTTCTGTACTTTAAATATCAAATGAAGGTTTTATTGAGCCACATTCACATCTTCACCTGACTGTTTTCTGGGTCTCTGTAGCTCCCGAGGTGATCAACTGTGAGCCTCTCAGTACAGCAGCTGATATGTGGTGAGTAGCTGCTCTCACTGTGTGTGCATGTTCACTGTTCAGCTGTGTATGGCAGGTATTCAGACAGAATTCCAAAATATTACAGACATTGGGATTATATTGCAATCCTAATCTAGAATTATTTTTTGAGTCCCCTGTTCATTTGACCTGACTAACTGTGTCCTGTGTCTTCGTCCCTACAGGAGCATTGGAGTTATCACCTACATACTGTAAGTTGAGTGCTGGATGGCTCATAGCAGGTTTGGCAGTGAAAACTGTATGTTGTTCTGCATTTTTGATAGTTTGTACCAAAACAACTCCAGCTCGGCACTATGTAATGCCACATAGGTTCTTAATATGAAGTCAATTTCAGAGAAGATGGATCTCTTCGTCACAGTACCTGTCAAGAAAATAGAACAGAAAAAACCTCAAACCAGGATGTGAGGTACCTCAGCCTAAAAATGTCCTTTTCAAGGGTGTCCTGAGTGCAAGTTGCACGAAAACACAAACCTGTGAGGCCTTCCCTCTGCAGTCCAAAGACAGGCTGAAACCAATGTATGGATATGTGTTGATGTCTTTGTTTGCAGGCTGAGTGGTTTGTCGCCATTCCAAGGTGAGACTGATGAGGAGACTCTAAGGAATGTCCTTGCCACGAAGTATGAGTTTGACGAGCGCTACTTCAGCATGGCAAGCTCCATGGCTAAAGATTTCATCCAGAAACTCTTGGAGAGGAATCCAAAGTATGTATTATGATATACGTACAGTGTGTTTCTCCCTGGGAAAAACATCTATCATCTTAAAGTGTTTGCTTATTTGCAAACTTGGAATAGCTTTGAAATGTACAGTCAGGGCCAGAAATATTTGGACAGTAACACATTTTTCACGAGTTGGGCTCTACATGCCACCACACTGGATTTGAAATGAAACCTCTACAACAGAATTCAAGTGCAGGTTGTAACGTTTAATTTAAAGGGTTGAACAAAAATATCTGATAGAAAATGTATGAATTGTACATATTTCTTTACAAGCACTCCACATTTTAGGAGCTCAAAAGTAATTGGACAAATAAGCATAACCCAAACAAAAAAGTTTTTTTTCAATATTTTGTGGCAAATCCTTTGGAGGCAATCACTGCCTGAAGTCTGGACTGTATGGACATCACCAAACGCTGGGTTTCCTCCTTCTTAATGCTTTGCCAGGCTTTTACAGCCGCAGCTTTCAGTTCTTGGTTGTTTGTGGGTCTTTCTGTCTGAAAACTGGTTTTGAGCGAGTGAAATGCATGCTCAATTGGGTTAAGATCTGGCGATTGATTTGGCCATTGCAAAATATTCCACTTTTTTGCCTTCATGAACTCCTGGGTAGCTTTCACTGTATGCTTGGGGTCATTGTCCATCTGTACTGTGAAGCGCCGTCCATTAAACTTTGCAGCATTTGGCTGAATCTGGGCTGAAAGGATATCCCGGCACACTTCAGAATTCATCCGGCTACTCTTGTCTGCTGTTATGTCATCAATAAACACAAGTGACCCAGAGCCATTGAAAGCCATGCATGCCCATGCCATTACATTGCCTCCACCATGTTTTACAGAGGATGTGGTGTTCCTTGGATCATGTGCCGTTCCCTTTCTTCTCCAAACTTTTTTCTTCCCATCACTCTGGTACAGGTTGATCTTGGTCTCATCTGTCCATAGAATGCTTTTCCAGAACTGGGCTGGCTTTTTGAGGTGTTTTTTGGCAAATTCAACTCTGACCTGTCTATTTTTAGATTTGATTAATGGTTTGCATCTGGACGTGAACCCTTTGTATTTACTTCCATGGAGTCTTCTCTTTACTGTTGACTTGGAGACAGATACACCTACTTCCCTAAGAGTGTTCTGGACTTCAGTAGATGTTGTGAACGGGTTCTTCTTCACCAAAGAAAGTATGCGGCGATCATCCACCACCGTTGTCTTCTGAGGACGCCCAGGCCTTTTTGAATTCCGATGCTCACCAGTGAATTTCTTTTTTCTCAGAATTTACCAGACTGTTGATTTTGGTACTCCAAGCATGTCTGCAATCTCTCTGATGGATTTTTTCTTTTTTTTTCAGCCTTAGGATGTTCCGCTTCACCTCAATAGAGAGCTCCTTTGACCGTATGTTGTCTGGTCACAGCAAGCTTCCAAATGCAAAACCACACACCTGGAATCAACCCCAGACCTTTTCACTACTTAATTGATTACAGGTTAACGAGGGAGACACCTTCTGAGTTAATTGCAGCCCTTATTGCCCATTGTCCAATTACTTTTGATTCCTTGAAAAGTGGGCAACACATACAAAAGCTGTTGCTATTATTTTATAGAGAGATACGCCTAAAAATGTCCACTCAAATGAAATGTATGGACTCGTGAGTTTCCTGTGTAAAACGTTCAGCTTCACAATGACATTTTGGTTCACAAAACCAAGTCAGCACTTTGAATCCAGACTATAAATGGAGAATGGGATTCCTCTCAGCCTGTTATTTTTAACAGGAATGTTTTTAAATAAAGGTTGACTTTCAGATGCTGATTGAGAGTAAACTGGCATACTCGCTCATGAAGCACTGCTCTCCTCTGCAACACAAGCACCCATACTGTTGGTGCCAGGGCAGTCCTTTTCAAATTGACAGGACGGGGTTTGTGACTTGATGAGATTGGTTTGCCTCTGCATTAACAATAGAAATCTGGCAGCAACAGGAGGGGCGATCACGCAGCTGCTGAGTAGCTCCCTGTCTCCGCTGCCCTTTTGGGGGCGAGACTTTGGTGAGGTGGGCTGCAGGTCCGTTTGATCAGCATGCCCTTATGTTGGTGTGTGTTGCAGTGAGAGGATGACAGCTGAGGAGTGTCTCCTTCATCCTTGGATTAAGGTGACTACTGATCCTGGTTCTAAAAATCTTCCTGTGATGCCTCCGGTCAGTTGCTGATTGCTGCAAATGTCCTCTGTTTCAGCCCATCACACGCAAACAGGCAGCCAATAGGAATCGATCCTCAATCAATATGAAGAACTTTAAGAAGTTCAACGCCAGACGAAAATGGAAGGTGTGTCTGTACAGTAAAGATGATATAATTGTATAATTGAAAAGTAATAATCAGAATCAGAATAAGGTTTATTGCCAAGTAGGTTTTTAGACTTACAAGGAATTTGCCTTGGTGTTTGGTGCACAACACTTCTATGAGAAGCAAGAAATAAAATGTAGAAATAAAAATATAGGACAGAAATGATAAAACTGAAAAATACAATCTTTAAAGATATAGATCCGATTTTACAAATGAACAATCTTTAAAAACTATAGATCCAAATGTACAAATGAACAATTGAGATGTGCAATGTTGATCTGCAATGACAGACCAGAAAATGCTGAAGCATTGGGTAAATTAGTGAGGTAGAGTGGGGGGGGAGAATAGGTGGGGGTCGCTGGCCTTGTTGATGAGGCCAGTTGCTGCTGGATTGAAACTGTCTTTATGGCGTGAGGTTTTGGTCCTGATGGTCCTCAACCTTCTGCCAGAGGGGAGGGTTTCAAAGAGTTTGTGACCAGGGTGAGAAGGATCAGACATGATCTTTCCTGCATGCCTTAAAGTCCTGGAGGCGTACAGGTCCTGAAGGGATGGCAGATCACAGCCAATCACCTTCTGGGCTGAGCGAATGATACGCTGCAGTCGGCCCTTGTCCTTAGCGGTGGCAGCAGCGTACCAGATGGAGATGGAGGAGGTGAGGATGGACTCAATGATGGCTGTGTAGAAGTGCACCATCATTGCCTTGGGCAGGTTGAACTTCTTCGGCTGCCGCAGGAAGAACATCCTCTGCTGGGCTTTCTTTGTGAGGGAGCTGATGTTCAGCTCCCACTTGAGGTCCTGGGTTATAGTGATCCCCAGGAAACAGAAGGACTCCACAGAAGCAATTGTGGAGCCACACAGAGTGATGGGAGCAGGTGGTGCTGTGTTCTTTCTGAAGTCTACAACCATCTCCTCTGTCTTGAGGCAGCACTAATATCAACAGAGTACGACCAAAGAGTTGAGAACAAATGAATAAGCTGTTTATAACACCAGAAGCCAATCAGGACACGTTTATTCATTTCACGTATTCTGCATTACAGCAGAATAACATACAGCCACTCACACAGAAACATGATAAGATGTGTGTTCCAGTAAACTTGGAATGTTTTCTTTGCTAAAGTTCATTACCAAGTTTTTTTATCAATGGAAGCCTTCACCATCAGTTCATTGGGCATTTTTTCACACACTGAGCAAAACACACACAGACTTGGAGCTCTTAGTTACATTTCAAGAGCCCCCAGCAGTCTGGGCCTTTAGCAGTAGAGGGGGGAGAGGTGCATCATGGGAGCCATAAGCCATGGACCTCTCTCTCTGCCACTAATTGTCAAGGTAGTGGAAGAACTACTGTGAGAGTGTACAACCTCAACACAAACTTTTATCAATTCAGGATAAAATGATGAAAAACTGTCACCCAAAATATCCTCACAAAAGGTAGATTTCAAACACTCATCTCTTCTCATCATAGAATGAATAGATAAGGGTTTGGCAGCTGGAATCCAGGCCAGCTGCACTGGTGACTGAACCACCTGCTTAAGCCATGAGCTGATACCATGTCATGTAAGATGGATGGATGTTTCTCACCCTTTCCAGATGTCCTACAACATGGTGTGGATGTGTAACCGGCTTGTGAATTTGAGACTGCTGAATAAGGGCAGGACTGATCCAGATCCATTGCAGGTGAGACTATATGTCGGATATCTTGGATTCCTCTCTGGGTAGCTTGATGTAGGCTTTGGACAACGCCGGCTGCACCCTAACCAGCTTCATGAGGTCATCATGCCAGCTGGTGGTTTGTTGTTGTTCTGTGCCTCGTCAGCTAGCGTTGTTATCCAGACTCCTTTATGTCAGGACTGTACAGAGGCAGCACAGCCCCCCGGCTGTCCCACTGGGTGCTGGAGCCATAGCTGTCCTTTATACGCAGTGTGCTCACAGCTATTCAGAGGGAGGCATGGAGGTGGAAGTGTTATAGTGAGACTGATGTCTGATGCCAACCACAGACACACTCATGATGCCCTCATGAGGCTTTTGGCGGTGAAGTGAGAGAAGACCTGAGGAATAAAGCTTTATCTGTACTGTGTACTGCTCTGACAGCACAGAAAAACTAGTCCCTCGCTGGGATTCCCATAGGTCAGCACTCCCCACCTTTCTTCATCTGCTGCCCCGTGTCTCATGCTCTGTAGCTTGTATGTGCTGTTTTCTGCAGTGATATGGGAAGTGAGCATTGCTTTTGGTGCTTTTCTGCAGAGACAGTGTGAGAGTGACGCTGAGGACACAGACAGCAAGCCTGCCTCTCTGTTGCGCAGAAGACTCAGCAGCAGTTCTTAGAGCTAACCAGAAGGAGACAGCAGAGGCGTGGGGGCTCGGCGGAGAAAACTCCACACAAACCTTTATTTCATTCTTCTGGTTAAATGGGCCTCTTAACATTAACTGTTCAAATCTCACACGGTTGCAGAGTTGTATTAGTGACTTTTTAAAGCTCCTCCTCCAGATCACGTGGTGCAAATGCATGCCTTCTTTTTTTAAAGTGAGTATTGAGATGGTTACAGATTTTTAGAAAACTGATAAACAATTTGCTAAGAAATGTTTTGGGATAGAATTATATTTCCTATACAAAAGTCAAATCTATTTTAAGTACAAGTCTTCCATGAATAACATGTGACGTAGAACACTTCTCATCAGTCAGTTTCAGAAATTCTGCGGCTGCTTTGAGTGAAAATCACTTTTAACAGTCAGACCTTTTGTCCATGTTGCGTAGAAGCTGAACTTGATTCTTCTCCTCCTAAGGACTCTTTCCAAGCTTAGAAATGAAAGATTGAATTAAGACCCAGCATCAACAGCCGTTAGTGTGTGTGCGTGCGCGTGCGCGTGTGTGGGAGGGACAGAGAGTGCTGAGGGATGTGCAGAGACACTATACGTGGGTTTTGACTATTTTGTCCAAAGTTTCTTACTGCTGAAGGTTCTAACTGTTCATGTCTTCCAAAATTCTTCCTGGAATTTTTGTGTTTTGAATGAGTGTAATCATGTCATCTGAAGTGTTTTGAAGGTCTACCAATGCTGTTACATTTACATTGGTGAATATCACCTCCATTGAAATGATTATTAAAGTTTTTGCTTAGATGATTTATTCATTCATTTCGATAAAGCACCATTGTATTCATTTCAGCTTGTATTTGTGTTCAGATATGCACAACATCTACTGAAGAAGTTCATTTTGTGGGAATATAATTGAAACTCTACAATCGAGACAAATAAAAGGTCACTGGAAACTTTAAGACTTGTCCTGTCCAGATTATTGGGCCCTAAAGCTGAGATGTGAAGAAACCAGTAATCTTTGGACAGGTTGGGGCGACCCCAATCAGAGACTGACTCAGCTGAGTCATAAATAATGTTCATTGACTAGATGAAATATTTTAATAGGCAAAAGAGCAAGCAGCTTAAAAAGGATAACCAGGACTAAGGGATGGTCTACGGAAGGGAAGTGAACATGTTGGAGACTTTGTGCACGCCGTTTACCTCAGACGTACGCATAAGCCTGCTGATGCATAAGAAGCAGATCATCTTGTATTGGTGACACAAACTGCAGATACTAGAAGGCAATGTTTTAAACTGTCTCCAGCACTTACTCTACTTGACTGGATTTGACTCAAGTTCAAATTGTAGGACCTGCTCTTTCAGGGTCATGCCAGTCAATTTAAGCCATTTACAGAATGCAGGCTACTGGTCAGGAAGTGAAGTCAGGTGCAGGGACCAGATGCTCTGCCGTTACTGAGGGGAGGAGAAAATGATTGCTGCTGCTTGTCCAGGTTTTAAACTCATTTAAACTCAAATATTTCCACACACGGAGAGCGATTCCTAGTGGGAATCTGTCTTGGGAGGGGAAGTGGGTAACTGAGCTGACAAACCAGGCAGAGCTATGCCAGACTGCTCTCACAGGCTGTTGCTTCGTCTTTGGAAATTATTTTCATTTGCCATCAACTAAGAAAAAAACATTCAGGAGCTTATTTGGTGTAGATGTTTGTAATCTCCAGGTACTCTTTGGTCATAAAAGTAATACTTAATAAATACTAAATAAACCCTGAAGGCGAATGATAAAAAGATGGTTTGAATATTGGAATGATCAGATGATCGACAAACACAGGAAGCTGAAGGGCCACATTGGTTAGCAGTGTTGCATGAAGACACCATCCTTTTCTATGGTTCCATGTAATACAAGGCAGATGTGAACTGAATGAAAAAGGCAGGTACATATTACAAAAACAAAAAAAAGTTTATTGATGTAATTTGAAGTTTTAACAACCGGCTACATTTTTCACATCTGGATTCAGGTCAGGAAGGTTCCAGACAGCTGTAAGAGCAGTAATTGCAGGCATCACGCTCTGTCACATGAGCCTTCCCGCAGATGTGAGGGAATGAACAGCAGCCACAAAACTTATGTTCACTAACCATCCTGCTTTTTGATCAAATCATAATCCTTGGTAACCACCTACACTCCCAATATGGGTCATTAAGCCCTTCTGAGATCTCCCCCCGCCACCCGAAGCCTCTTTCTTCTTTCTCTGAGCTTCAGACCCTGTCAGAGCTCCTCAGTTCTTCTTGGCCTTTGGTGAGTCATACTTCCTCTTGCTGGAGTACCAGAGAAGCAGAGGGATGCCAATAGAGGGCAGAGTCATCACACCAAACGCAGCCCAGTCCAGCTAGAGAAGGAAGGCGTGGAACAGTCAGATACCAGGAGCAGATTAAACATGAAGTCAGTATGATGGGCACAATCAACCCCTTAGGCAAATGCTAAAGTCAGCCAAGAATTCATTCACATTTGATACTAAGGGAAATTCAGAACCAATGCAGTACTTTAGCATTTTAAAAAGACGACATGTTAAAGTCAACCCGGCCCATCATACTTTAAGCTCACTAGCAGTCCTGTGTTCTCTCTGCACAACAAAACAGTATTCAAAAGTTTAGATTGAAGGCTGCCTTAGTTTGAAGGTCATTTCAGAGCCCAAATGACTCACATAGTGTGGAGAGAAGCGCCGGTCAAACTCCCTCTGAGCCAGGATGCCACCCTGACCTGGGGCACTGGTATAGCCCACCTGCAAGAACACAGGAGAAGGATCAGCTTCACTCAACTCAGAACTTTCACCCACAGACAGGAGCAGCGCCTCTTACCACGACTTGTCCGCCCTCTTGGGCCAGATAGCTAACAGAGGCAGAGGTGAAGTTGAAGTATCCAGCCTTCAGGGGCCGCAGCACCACCGTGTGAGAGACATTGCTGGCTCTGAGTTTCACCGTTAAAGAAGTATGGCGATCTGTGCTGGCTCAGTCTAACAGGACAGCTGTCACCTGGTGCTGTAACATACACTCATAGTGATGACTTCATCCTCTCTTTACCCAACGAGCTTGCAGATGCTGGCATTTAATAGTTCGGCGCACCACCACTATACTAGGGGATAATGCGTCTCTAGAGCCTGCAGCAGTTCCCTCCTGTGATCTAAAACCTCCAATTGGGCTCATTTCTGCCATCAAACTACCATCAATGCACCAAACAAAGCTGCACAGTTTGTACATTAGAGTAAAGGATACGGTGCTATCCTGTCCCATTTTACATTCAACATCCCTGACACAATTCCAAAGTCTTCAGGAGGAAACGAATCGTCAGACAATTCTACCTCCAGGGCAGCACTGTGGAGACAGAAAAAAACAGGTTACACACAGTTCTTTCCACATCAGCATGCTGCAGACAGGAGAGGAATCCAGACCTGCTCAGAGTATCTAACTGTCTTCAACCGTCTTCCTTTACATCCAGTCAATGGGACAGCAGAGGCCCACCATAGCAAACAGCATCACAGACCCAAACCCAGTCTGTGATGCTAACAGAGCTAGCCTGGCCGCTAGCCGTTACTCAGACAGCAGCTTCTGGGGTCAGGGCTGTAGTGATGCAAGTAGTCTAGTGATCAATTAAGAGATCCACATAGACTATTTACGCCACACAGCTGTCTGCATTCTGCACATTAATGCCTCAAGCTGCCGCAACTATGCCTAATAATATAATATATCGTGCACTTGTTGAATATCACGCCCTGTGCATGGTCAATACCTTGTGCATTATTAAAAAAAAAATTTTTTATACGAGCTAGTAAACCTTCAAACATGTATTATCCTGCTTTATTCTTGCTAACTTGTGCCCATTGCTATTTTGTATATGTGCACATAAATACGTGCAAACAATCATGGAATGTTTGAAAAAATATTGCTAGTTCTGTGTAAATTAAAATGTTTGACTCATGTTTGCTGACGAGTCATGTGACTCATTGAGCATACCCATTTCGTGAACTTCATTCAGTTTAAAAACATTTAATTTCAGAATTTCTGTGATGGACACTCATTCCAAATCCGTGAACCAACATCAAGGTTCAGCCGTTTGTTGTTGCTATGCAATTCAATTTGATTTAAACATTTGATCCATTAGTTTTCAATTTAATTTAGTTATTTTAATGTTTTACGTCATTTTTGTTACATTTTGAGACTTTACATAGCTGTAAAGCAGTTAGAATTCGCTTGAATATGAAATTTTGCTCTACAAATTAACTGCACTTTTGTCGCCTAAAAATGACGTCACAGGCCGGGCTGCCGAGTTGCATATAATGTGATGGACATGGAATAGAAAACCCATCTAAACCGAGGACAGCCGGGTAGGCCTGAACAGGTACAAATGGAAAAAGCCCGATAACAGTCCCATGTAAAGCTTGCTACACACCAGCCCTGAAACTTCCCAGCTTCCGTCATGGCGTCGGACACTCACCTGGAACCGACGTTGTAGATGTTATACTGCAGGGTCAGGTCTCGGCCCTCCACTGCGTAGCGGTTCAGTAGGGATTTAGAGGCCAGCAGCCGGGCTCCTTCCTCTCCTGAGCCCAGGACCAGGACAGCTAGCAGCACACAGGCGCGGAGCATCATGGCCATCTGGAGAAAGGGCACTATTACACACAGAGATAGTACGAGTTCTGCTCGGCTCAGCCTGTCCGACCGGGGAACGCTGAGAAAGTGTGCAAATGTTTTAAATAGGTCAGACGGGATAAATGTTGAAGTGTCGACTGAAACACAGGGTTAGCGATCAAATTCCTCTAAGATACAGCAGCATACATAGAAAGCCTCTGGTCCTGCCTGCTTACGTGGACCAGAACTAGACAAGGCACTTGTCTACATTCAAACTCCGAGACAAAATTAATTCAAAGATTTCTGCTCACAACCTAGATGAACGCGAAACATCTTTTTTACCTATTGTTAAATAACTTGAAAGGAAAAACACAATAGCAGAAGACAGAAGTGACACCGCCAGACCATTACCGTACAGTCCTCTTCAAGACACAATTGCGAAGGATTCAACACTGCGCATGCTCACAGCATGAACGTTGCTGTTTGCATGACGTGTACCGGGGAGAAGCGAAGGAAGGCCGCAGACTGCAGCGCCCCCACAGGCCAAGCGGAAAACCCTCCAACTTCCTCTCTACAATTGGAGGCTGCTGCTATGCCCCCTCCAATCACTGCGCAAGGGACCAGTCACGTGTTTGCTCCTCTTTTGATTAACGAGCTCTGGGACCGCGTGGGGCGCTGTAATCCCGCCACAGCATGTCTCCGTGTCAAAGAACGTGTCAGTTTTGTTGCAAAGTAGGAAGACACACAGGGAATTATTTCCGGGGATTGTTAGCTTAACAATCAAATACATATAGAACAAGAAAAACAGTTTAAGATATGTGACAGAAAGGGACATTTTTAGTCCAAATATACAAATGATTTAGAGAAAGGTTAGGGTTAGAGTTAGCGGTGGAAGAAAGATCCTAAATATGAGGAGATTGGTTATTCTCTATTCAAGATCCAGGGTTAGGGTATGGGTTAGGTTTCTTTGTATGTTATATTATTTCATATCATACACATTAAGATGGTTTTGATAGCATCCAATGTACACATTTTTCTCAAATATGTGCAGAGCGCTGAATGAATCTTGCATTCCTGCTGTTTGTTTTTATTGATGATAGGGTAAAAAACAACCTATTAAGTCCATTGTGTGTACATTGCATTGTACTGTTGAGAATTTGAAATCGGTGGGGTCCTCTGTACACACTTTTGAGATGCATTTTTTCACCTTTTCGCTTTTCAGTAAATACTAAATATAGATACTCAAAAAGTCAAATATATATCACTTTAAAACGGGTATTTCAGGATGATACTTTACTGGCGAACTGTCCACATTGTACCAACCTCTGAGTCAGTGTCAGCCGGGATAGGCTCCAGCCCCCCACAGCCTACTAGGAATAAGCACTACGGACAATAGCTGGATGGACTAAACTGGCAATAAAAATGTCTATAAATGTTTGTAACTGCACTTCACTTCTTAGGAAACTAGGCCTAATATAATCTGGGTCGTGAGGATTTAGCCAATTCGGGTCCAAAGAAAAAAGTTTGGGAAACACTGAGTAAAGATATGACTAAACAGTTTCTCCCTGAGATACCCAGGTCCAAAGAAACAACTTCACTTCCTCTTTCTGTTCTTAATAGGTGTTTAAAGTTTAACAGCTGACGAGTTCCACTCTGTTTCAGAGATAGACATGACTGATTATCGGCAGTATAACTGCGAGAGAGATTTATACCAAACTGTGTTTAAAGCCCTCAACTCTTTGATCATGAAAACACCATCTCACCTGGAGCCCGTACCTGTCTGACTCATCAAAGAGCATTCTAACTTCATCATATTGTTAATAAACCTGTTTACATTTATTCTGTGTCTTCCTGCCTCTAATTCTATTTTTTTCTTTTTCAATCTATTTGAATCTTTTCAATGAAATATATAGTCTTTTCAATCTATATTGCAGCTAGCTCAGGCTAGACTTCTAAAAGCTTGGTTGTTTTTCTTTTATTCATTCCTGTTCAAACCAATAAAAGTAAGCAGCTTCTGCCACAAGGAGAGGCTTTTCCACAGACTTTCAGCCTGTGGAAGGGGCATCCAACCCTGTCTGATGAAGGCAGCAATGACACATACAAGTACATTTGACTTTGGCGAGTTTTCATGAAAGGCTTAAATGTCCTGTGTGGCTCCCTGTTTAGATGAGTGTCAGTTGAGATGTGATACGCAGGAACTCTTCAAGCACAACGTGCTCAGACAAACTAATGAAGTCACACACGCTGTGTGCATGTGGGTGTGTCCAGTTCTCTGGAGCTGAGGACATAAAAAGGACACCTGCTGCAGGTTGGTGATCATCAGGTGTGAGACTGTCAGTCTGGTGTCATCATGCTCCATCCAGCCAGAGCCCCCCGGCAGCTGGTCCTCCTGCTGCTGCTGCTGCACCAGAGCAGCTCCGCTGTTCACAACAACGCCACAGAGTCCGTGAGCCTGCAGCCCGCGCTGGACACTCAGGACCAGCCAGCTGAAGAGGACATCAATCAGGCCAGGAATGGGGGGAGACGGCCGGTTGAGGCTGCGCGTCACGGTGAGTCCAAATGGTCACGCATGCTTATTGATTCCCCTGAGCGCTACTGTCTGTAAGGGTAGAGTTGGGTAGGGCAGCTTCATTATCTGAACTTTCAGACTTATTTCAACAGAAGTAAACTTTGTTAATAATAAGAGTAAGGAAGGATGAGGGGAAGAAAAAAGTTTGATAGTGAAATACAGCAAATCAAGTCAATACAGCAGGCGTGGATTCCCCTCAGAGAGACACAACTTATGGTCTCGGTGTTCATTTGAATAGGTTTTAGTTCTTAATCCTGAAACAGACAAGAGAGATCAGCCTGTTCAAAGCTATCAGCTCAACTTGAAGTGGTCAGCTACTAAAGAGGACAACAGTGCTCAGGAGCTGTCGGTGTGAGGGTGATAACCTTTTTTAAAAAATGGATACCCCTCAACCCAAAACTTTAGGGGTCTGCAAGAGTTTCTAATGTCAGTGGCTCGATGTGAAACTGCTTAATGAGCAAAAATGTCATTCTGTCACCGCACCTCTATTGGAGATATTTTAGATGAGTATTATGGCACTGAGTTTCCATCTTTCAGGTCCAGATCAGAGTCAGGTGGGCTGCAGGGAGCTGAGGTCCACCAAATACATCTCTGATGGTCAGTGCACCAGTGTCAACCCCATCAAGGAGCTGGTGTGTGCAGGAGAGTGTCTGCCAGCCCACCTGCTCCCCAACTGGATCGGGAGTAGTGGTTACTCTGGGAGATACTGGAGCCGGCGCGATGCTCAGGAGTGGCGGTGTGTCATCGACCGGACCAGGACCCAACGGATCCGGCTTCAGTGTCGTGATGGCAGCTCCAGGACCTACAAAATAACAGTGGTGACGTCCTGCACGTGCAAACGTTACACCAGACAGCAGAATGATTCAGGACATACTAAAACATCTGCTCAGAATGCCAAACCACGGAAACATCTGGAGAAGACTGGACTCCCAGAGTTCTCAACCGGGAGACAGTCAGACAACTAGAGCCACTCACCACTGCATCCGCAAAAATACATAATAAGTCCCTATAGTCCAACCTGTTTTTGTCAAAAAGTGTATAGACGGATCATAAATGTGCAAATAACAACCCATTAATCACAGATGCTCACCTAATTTAAGTTTTTTTTTTTAACAGTCTATGGCCCAAAACAAAATCCAGAGAAAAATTGTTATTTTCTTTCATACAGAAAGTGACACTTTCACAACAGTTTCTTGTCAGAACTGATCTGGAATCAGAAACTGCTTAAGGGAATGTTTCATTTGGGGTTGTGTTTAGGTGCACCGCTGCTGGGACAAGCAGGAGGGCCTCAAACACTGGCTCTGCTTCTGAGGGAGACTTCTACCTGTAAAAAGAGAATATTTCCTTCCACAGTCTCTTCATACACCCTCAGAACAGTGGATTGGATCAGTTAAATTACTGTGCAACAAATTTGAAATTTAATTAATTGGAACTGATTGTTTTTTGATTGCATTTGAATTAAATGGACTCTAACTGGTTTGAATTTGACAATGTCCGTGAGGTATCAAGATATCACATCCATTGTGATTTGGTGTTTTATAAATAAACTGGATGGAATCAAACTTTCCAAAGACTAAAAAACAGTCCTGTCCGGATAGTTACTGGAGCACATTCTGTCATTCACACAATTTCATTAGTAAAGATGAAGCAGCAGTGTAAACTAAAACATTGTAAAATTGTTTGTTTGATAATCAGTTCAGGCTGTAATGGAATGCTGTGTGAACAATATTTTACCATTTAGCACTATCATGTTAATCCCACATGTTGGATCAATGCAAAAGGTTTCTGCCATATACACGTTTTTAATGTGAAGTTTGATTTATATGCTGGACAGTCTATGACAAATCTGTATGTCAGTCTAATCATATAAGCTTTTGACAATAAATATATAACTTATTTTGACTAAAATCTTAATCAGTTCACAATTTAAGCTGCGTTTGGATACTTTCTCACATCTAACATGGCAAAGACTTTTCTACAAAGCGGTCACTCTGCCAGAATGCTGCAGGCATGCCAGACAGCTTCACTGCAAACAGGAACTCACAACAACAGAGGCATTAGTCAGTGATGAAACTCTGCTCTCAACAGCTGCCATGCATTGTTTGCATGTGAAAGATATACCTTCACCTCCAGGCTTGTGGGGCTCTTTCCATCTGCAGCAACATGTTAAGACACTTTATTGTCTAAAGTCCCCATTCATGTTTTTCCCTCTAACCACAGAGAGCAAAGATACGTGGTGAAAAGACCTGCCGGCACAGAGGATGATGACAGGATGTTTAACTTGTCTTACCTTCAGTAGGAAAGGGTTAATGTGTCTTTGTCTCTTATATCCTGTAGGTAGAGTGATGGGACTTCAGAGCAACATTCACTCTAGAAAAGGTTGATAGTATGTCTCATTTTTAGGCAGACTTTGAACATATTTTGCATGGTTGTAAGCAACTGAGATTAAAATAAATGTATTTTACTCAAATACAATGAACTTAAAGCTGTTATTTTCCCGTTGTATTAAGCTAACAACATTGTGCTTATGGTGGTGGTACATACAGATATACAAACATTTCACACTGATACTAACACATGCAAGCCATGCTGTTCAGGCCGAGTTGTCCACCAGTACTGAGTAAATGCCCATCCAACGGAGAGCCCGCTCTCTTTTCTCCCTTTTGAAACTCATTTTTGGTTCCAGCAGCTTTGGCTGCCTGGAGTGGCCTTTCCCAGGCCACAACTTCTTGCTCGCTCTGCCAGTAGTCTGCATCCTAAACAACTCTGCTCAGTCTGAGTGATCTTCAACAATCAAAATCTACAATCAAACAGCAACTGTGGACAAAAACAGTAGTCCAGCCTCAGGCAGGGAGAGAGCTTCAAAAACTGTTTTTGTCACGGTCTGGCAGACAAAAGTAGGCTGGGTGCTGTCACAGTTGGAACACTGATCATCCACCAAAGATAAAATTAAACGTTCCACGTTTATCTGTTACATATATATGTATATACTGTATGTATGTATATATATATATATATATACATTTTTTTTTTCTTTTACAATTTTCCCCATGAAGTGCATTATATGTTCCCATTTCCTCCCGTCATCCAGGTACTCATAAAATGTTCTCACCAGAGACTTGTGCTCTGCTTATGCTGACATTTTTCTCTGTAGACAAAAACAGAACACTATAGAGGCCAACGGGAGGACAAAGAAAGACACTGAGTGTCGGCTGACATCGATAATTAATGTCCAGTACTATGTAATCTTCATTTCCGATTACTGTATTTCTTGTGTCGGACACTCCAGGTTGAAACAGCTTTAGCTCCACTTCCTCTTGCAGCTTCTGTATGCACTCACTGGAACATTGGTCTTTCCAACCTTCCCCTGAAATACAGTACATCCGGAGACACATCCATTCACGGATGCCAGAGGCCAAAACCATTTTTGTTTTTCACCGAGTCCACACCAGCTGACTGAGCTCATGACATATCCTCTAATCCCTTCCACTTGGGTTGCAACTTTAGTTGTTTTATCACACTACATAAATCCTACTGCACGGTGCCAGTGTTTTAGCTGCACCATTTTCCCACTATTCTAAAACTTCCAAATCAGATTGCACACCCTTTGCTTCCTTTTCAGTAAACAAAAATGGATCTACACCTACCATATTAAACTATTACTATCTATATCCTATTTTTAGACTTTGTATAATTCTATTCAGAGTACTGATAAACTGTCTGTTAGTAAACCTCTTATTAGTTCAACAAACGGCCCGACAGGTTTCCAATAGACTATTTGAGCTGTGTATTTAACTTTTCTCCCACATTCATTTATTAACTCTGCAAGCTTTTCATGATCTGTTTGTCTTAATACTCCTAATAAAGTCGTGGTTGATATTGTTATTTGACTATAACAAAAACATGTTCCTCAGAAGAGTTCACATGTAGTTGAAGAAGACAATTAAATGACAGGCAGTGAGACTGCTGGCATCCTAAAAGCAAAATGTAACATCACAGGAGGATCTCAGGAAGCAGGCGTAGAACAACACACACTAGAGCAAACAAGACAATGTTGGCCCTTTGCTTGGTCTCAGGCCCACTTTTCAGAATAAACCCGTGTACTGTAAAAGTTAATCTTCTTCTTTATCATTTAGTGAATCATATCTGTGGCATTTTTTGTGCTGTGCACATCAAAGTAAGGGTGGGGGTTACATCAAAAGCTGCCAAGTCAAAAGACCAAAATAGAATCATACAAAGGGACATTTAGTTGTCGAGTGTCCTGGGGCACAAAACTATGAATGATGGCTGCTGCTGAATGTCTGCATGCTTTGCAGTCTAAAGCCTCAACAAGTCAAAGACAATTCATCTGTGCAGACACACCTGTTTCTCATTCAGACTGAATGCAAACCGAAGACACTCTCAGAGCAACAACACAGAATGTCCAGACAAAACCCCCCTGTGTTTTATAGCCACCCCAGGATCATGCGCTAAGCTCTCTGCAAGACTATTTCAAAGTGCTGTTAACATGATTAGCCTCACAATGTACTGCGTGTTGTTTCTAAGACAAGAAAGTGAGCATTGAATAAAACATGTTTTGTTTAAGCAAGTCAGACGTAATGCAGTTATGAGCCAAGTGAGTGTGAAATGAAGGGAGGATTTGGAAAAAGGTTATTTTCAGTTTCACTTCTTCAGGAAGACTGTTCCAGATTTTATGAGCAGAAAACTGAAATGTTGCTTGCGGATATTACATGGGGGTATTACTTGGTGACACTTGTAGACTTTCGATATGGAATTGTGTTATATCAATTGCCTTATATGGTAATTTTAATCTCTGGGAAGGCTTATTAGGAATTTTTATATTTGCTTAAAAGTATAGCAGAATAATTAGGCTAGTAGAAATGTATTTGCTTTATAGTAGCCTAGATAATTGATATAATTAGAATCTGTTAGAAGGCCCACTACTGGTGCCACTTGATTAGTGTTTATCATGCTTTAATAATGTTTAATAATGTGTTTATCATGCATTTTGGAGTAAGATGGTTTCAGGTTCTCCAGGGGAGGGCTTCTGACCCTTTACATGGTGGGAAGGTGTCTTAGTCAGAAGGTTTTTAATTGGAATTTTTCCATATTTCATTGTCATTTCAGTAGATTGAGGACACCTTTCAGGTGTGAAAGGAAGGATTTTTTAGAATTGCTCCTATTGATAAATTGTTCAAAACCAGGAAAGAACTTCCATCAGAACCAGACCCAGGAGGGTGGCACTCTGCCTTGAGTGAGCTTTGGGTTTTCCTATGTCCTAGTTTTCTTATGTCTGGTTACTTCCTTTTTTTTATCATGACTTATCTTTTTTTCTGATCCTCCGTTTCAAACCTAATCTTCATTGCAATTGTCTCACCTACTAATAATTCACAAACAACTCCCCGAAAATATTTTATCCAGCTTTTCTTTTAATAAGTGCCAGTTCATTGCAGCCTATGTTTATGCTCTAAAAAATCTCCAGAGACCAGTTTGCATTTGGATTATCAACCGGGGACGGACTGTTGGAAACAGTGTGGCTTCATTAATCCACAACAACACAGTAATAATACTTCCTCAGCATAATAATATTCAGAACAAAGGAGGCTTAGATAAAGAATTCCACTGATATTCATCCGGTGTTGCTGACTGGTAGCATAAATCTACCACTAGGTGGTGTCCTTGTAGTGTCTGTTTAATTCTAAACTAATAATAATATTAATAATAATTAATTTTGTGTTTTTGAAAATTAATACATGTTTTATGAAATTTCAGCACTAAAAATCAGCTTTCATTCAGATCCTTGACTTAATTAATTGTGTCAACAGGCCTTGTGTTTTTTTCCCTCTGTTATGTTTCTAATGATATCACATAAGAGTAGAAGAAGAAATCGAGACTGCGGTCGACCACGCCAGACACGACCTCAGGAACAGGCTGTGCACAGAGGCCTCTGAGATAGTAACAAGAT